ACTTGGTACTATGGTACTCATTATAGTGTTATAGAAATTAAATGGCACCACCTTCATTGTTGTGGTTTTCAGTGGTTGAACTACACATGCCAGCACTTTTTGTGCAAATATTTTCAGTTATACTTTTGCACCTTTAGTTTATTCTGTGAAGTAATAAGTTCAGGAACAATCTTCCTCCAAATATGTTATATGGAATTGGTTACTAGTGCAATATAGATTTACAGTATTAGCACTAGTTTTGTAAGTTTTGTTTGTTTCATCAAATGTCTTTTGATAAATAAATGCAGAATTTAGATGTATACATGATCTGTCATATTATTACTCTGTGGTTAAAAGGACTCGAAATTCAAAGTTTAGGACTTTGGACTCGACTTGGGACTCGCCAGTCTTGACTTTGGACTCGACTTGGGACTCGCCAGTCTTGACTTTGGACTCGACTTGGGACTTGCCAGTCTTGACTTGGGACTCGACTTGGGACTTGCCAGTCTTGACTTGGGACTTGGAGACAACGACTTGAGACTGACTTATGACTTGCAAAACAATGACTTGGTCCCACCTCTGCTATCTCATACAGCCACATACAGTAATGGATGCTTAAACTACATCCAAACATCCACTTTAGTGTTCGATTTTAGCACAGACAGGATAGAAATTGATTCATCTGCAGTGTTTTGCTACCGACTACTGTCATTTTTCAGTTTGTAGCGATACCACATTGTAAAAATACTCTATTACAAATAAAAGTCTTGTTATCAAAACATGACTTAAGTGTAAAAGTATTAGCATAAAATATACTCGAAGTACATCATATTATTCAGTTATTGATATATTATTGTGTACATCACATTTAGTGCTGCAGCTGATAAAGGTAGAGCTAATGTTAACTACTTTATATCCTTGTAATTTGAGTAACTGCTGGGTAGCATGTAAATTTACCACCAAGGATCAATAAACCTTATGATTATACTGTATTTTGTTTTATTAAACTCATTTTAAAAAGTAACTAAAGTTATCAAATAGATGCAGTGAGTACAAAATACAATATTTTTCTCTGAAATGTAGTGAAGTTGAAACATTAAGTAGCAGAAAATGAAAATAATCAAGTAAAGTACAGATACCTCAAAGTTGTACTTAAATAAATGTACTTAGTTATTACCCACATCTGTTGCTTTCCTTTGGCAACACCAATGAAGTTGATCTTACATCTTAATCACACATGCAACAGAATGAAACATTGTATCTTGGAGTAAGAAATTACTGCATTACTGGCTGTTCCTGTTTTTTGTCATTATTCTGAGAACCACAAGCATCCCTGTTAGTCTTTAATGTTAAAATATAAACTCCAGTTATGTTGAGCCATACAAAGTGGCTCTGCATTTATAAAGCAACGCCACTTGCTGTTCTTGCTAAAATTCCGCAGCCAACAGAGGAACAGCACGTCTGAGCCAATAAGAAAGCACAGAGTGGAAGAATGGCCAAGTTGACGCTTATTATAGTTTGGAATTTACAAGCACATGAAAAACAAAATACCGGTTCAGATAAGTCCAACGATCATTAAGCAGCAGGAAAATCATTACCATGAGAGTCTCACATAATCTAGTGCTGTCAACAGACAATCATCAGGCGTGTAGCTGGTTTAAAATACTTTAGAGTGAAAGAGGAAGTTCATGTGGGTTTGCAGCGACACAAATGTATAAAAAACGCAAAGTCCACTTTGTGTGCGACAGCGGAAGAGTGCATAAAAACAAACAACGATAAAGCTGCGAGAGCAACGAGTCGAGCGCACCAAGGCTGCAGGTGCGCAGGACTTTGCCAAAGTTTCAGTGTAATACACATCTTTGCCTACCTATCAATTCTGCCACGGCGCTGAAAGGCCATGTATGACTTGTGGAGTTGCTGTTCAGGAAGGAAGGGCTCATCTTAGAAAGAAACCAAAAATAAGTCAGTCAGTTTGCAACAGTCGTCACTGTCACGCTTTGTAGCTACAGGCACTCGCAACTTAACACTGCACAAACTACCTATTAACGAATTACTAGTTATTTGCAGTACTTACGGAACTCAGACGAATCCCATGCTCGCTTAACCTCGCCATGTTTTGCGACTGTTTAGCCTCTTGTGTGCGTGTGTGTGTGAGTGCGTGCGTATTCTGAGCGCAGGTACCTAAGCAGACGCAGCGTGGGCGTAGCGTCCCCAGACAGCGTCATGAAAGGAAATCAAATGAGCACAGCCACAGATATGACTGAGGCATAGTTCACCTGTTTACAAATGTGTTGTCCCCTGCTTGTCTTGTCCAAGATAATGAAACAACGTGGAAATACTACCAGGAGTTTAAGACAACACAGAAGCGCCAGATAAAAACATATGCTGTCAAAAAACTGCAATATGTCAGAACATAATGTGCACATTTCCAGAAGTGGACAGACACCAAGTGCCCTTACTCAAGTACTGTAATAGGTTACTTAAGTAAACTCTTCATTTTCTGCTTCTATTTTACTTTTTAATCAACTATAATAATTAATTTAGCAAATTAATTATGATCTATTACAACAGGTCAAGATAAGGTACCATTTTTTAGAGCCCCAGAGGTAATTCACAAGCTACCCAGCAGTTTATAAAGTATTTTAAATTAGCAGCAATTACCAGCCGCAGCAATCACCTTTTATACTTAATTGTTTTCATAGTAATTATTACATAAATATTCTTCATATTAGCATGTTTGATACTTTAAGTAATGCTAATACCTGTGACCTTTGCATGACATTTTGTATAAGTATTCAACAAATTAACTAAAGCAAAAAAATAAAAATAAAAAAAATAATAAAAATTCAGCTGAACTGTGAAATTGTATCAGTTGATGCTTCAGCATTTTGTAAACAAAGTGTTCAGTAACATTCATTCTGCCTTTTTGTACTGTCCCTTTTTTGTCTTCAGAAACATCTTGGTAATAACCAGTTAGTTTTGAGGATATATCAAAACCATTACTGCAGAGATGTACAGCAGGTGTGACACAGAGATGTTTGGACATTTAGATAATGGTGAACAACATCGGCTCAGAATGTGAGATAAATGATGACACATCTACACTTGGTAATTGATTAAATGTTTCCGAGAAAAACTATCAACTGTTTGCCCAGAGGCAGGATCACAGTGAACACCCTCTCAGACAGTAATGACACTGAACCTGTCTTGTCATATGTACAGAGGCAGAACATGGATACATACAATAACACAATCAGCAAATAAACATAGCTGACTGCTGTGACATAGCTGGAACGCTTCACTACAGTGCATCTCAAATGCAACACATTATTACATTTCAGGAAAACCTGGGGGCTTAGACATGTATCCTGTTTATAGGCCTAGGTTATGTATATTTGAACATAACATTTGGTACATTATACAGTAGCTTTAATTAATATTTTAAGAGACAGTTTTTCATGAGCTTCATCATCATAAAGGCCATTTCATAAATTGGTGCCAATGCTTTTGTGTGTTTTAAATACATCAAAACACAACTTCTGCTGCTGTGACCACAAAATGTACAACTAGAGAGGAACCACAAAGTCAGTGAACTGACTCAGTAAAGTCCCTTCATTGTATTTAGTACATTTCATAGCTTCATGTTTTTCAAGAAACAGTGGGTTGTGTCTCAAAAGTTACTTAGTCCCTGTTTAACAAGCCACTTGAGGACAAAACCTAAATGCTCTTTCCCCAATAACTGCACAAAGGCCGAGTCAAGAAGACAAGCTAACAAGCTAGCTAGTTCACAAGCTCATCGTGTTACACGTTTGGCATTTTTTTTAAACAAAAAATAGGACATGTTATGATGAGCAGCCAGAGAATTTTTTTGACTGACTGAATCATACTGCTCAGCAGCACTGGTACTTGCTGGAAGTATGAGCATGACAAGTTTTAAATCATGTGACTTTGCTGGCAGATTCAATTACATGTAGCACCACAGAATGTTAATTGCAAACTAACAAAACCAATCAGTTTATTTAGTGATTTTTTTTTTTTTTTTTACTGTGAGATGATAAACCGATCGTGGTAAATTAGCAGCAAGTAAATTTTCTGTAGGATCTAAAGAGGAGAAATAAAGCTTTACACTGTAAGTTGAGGTAATAAAAATTTTTAATCAACACTGTATTCTTTAGGGTTGGCTCCTTCATATAAACAAATTTAACTGCTATTGCAATGTTTAAATGGGCAGTAACATATGTAATAATTACTGTATATCAAAATAATATTACATGTAAATACATGGCAACATATGGGAGGATTATGTCTGTTAAGATGAAGTAAACTAATATAGCAGGACAGGCTTAGTAGCAGTGTTTGATACATGCAGCAGGCTTGAGGCCTACTTCCTGGTATTAGCATGATCAAGCTAACATGAGGGCATATTAGAGGTTTGACTGGTTTTTTGGAATGAACACTGACTCAGGGTGGTTTCTGATGCAATATAAAAGGAAGGAGATGTCTGGCTAGTCACCTGTTGAACTATTTGAAATGTGTGGTGAGTTACTTCACATGTTTGGTAGCTGGAACAGCAGCTGAAATGTTTGCTAGTGTTAGTGGTAACAGTAGATGAAGAATTATGATGGCAAGGCCTGACAACCCCCCTCTTGGGGCCAAATAATGGGTAAACATCATTTAACTGGTATACTGAGCATCCATATGAATGCTCTCCCATTCTCTGGCACATTTAATGGTGTATTAATGACTGCTTTGTTTAAGAATCATTCCAAAACAACAACAAAAAAATCTTCAAGATTTATTATAGTGATTCCTACCAAACACACTAACCTGGAAAAGTAAGGACTGCTGTCCAGTCTCTGGGTCCCTCTGTTTGGTTACTATAAAGACAAAAAATAAAAAATAAAAAAACAACAACACATGGGGCATATATAAAAATACAATAATTCTGGAGTGAAACCACAACATTAATTAAATGAATGCACTGGTACATAACTACACAGCCTACCTTTGTATCCTGGTCGACCAATTTTGACAAACTTCTTGACCTCAACTTTCACTTTCGCTGGAGCTGGCTGAGCAGGAGCATCTTTTGCCTCTTTGGCAGCTCTCCGTGCTCTGAAATAAACCACAAGGTTAATGAACAAAGTGGAAACATAAAGTCAAATAAGTTTCTCAATTGTGGATCTGTGGTGATAAAACATAAATCAGTCACACTAAACACAACAAACTCTATGCGGTCCCCACTTAAAAAGCATTTTCTAGCTTTGTTTCACAGCTTCATAGCTTTGTTTGACAACATTTCATTTCAGTTTAACAGTCTACAACAACACTAACAGCTCTGAGTCTGTACAATTGGCAGATCTAGAAAATTTTACATAGAGTGGTGAAGGAATGGCAAGAGGTTTTGGTAAGTGGCAAGAAATGGGGCTATCTGAGGATTTGCATATATCATTATACTGTACATCAAATATATTCAGTACAACAGGAAATAGACAATAACTAAAAACATGTTATTTTCCAATTATATGTTTCTGCACTGAACAAAGCATAGCATGAGGTCCCTCTTTCACATTCAGTTTTATCCACGTCTTCATCCCTCACAAACATTTCTTCTTCTCCCTCTTCTTCTCTCATTTCCTTATTACCCTCTTTCTGTGGCTTTGTCTTTCTGTCTCTCCTGCCTACTCACATCTCTTTTTCCTTTTCTCTCCATATCTTACTCTTCTCCAATCTTAAGCATTTTATTGCTGAAACATAATTTTTGGAATTTCTCTTGATTTCTGATTTGCACTGCAGAGTAGCCGAAATATTGTAAACCTACAGTAGTCAAGATATGAAAGGACCTCATGGTGAAAATGCATTACACTGTAGGAGCATGCAATTAATAAGTAACAATAAAACTATCAAATCAATAATGATTTACAGCTACAATCAGAATGAATTAAAAATCTCACTAGCATGAAACTAGAATCAACTCCCTCCATCTACTGAAAGCCATGATGATATAACTTTTTGTTCTAAATCCAATTGTGTTAGTTTCTTTTCTTTTTTCTCTTTAGAAATTCTTTTTCTTTTTTGTGTAGCTGTCTGAGCTAACACTGAAATCAGTAGCTTGCTAGCCTAGCAAGCAAGCAAGTATAAGCTTTCTCTGCCAGACTGTTTGATGAGCCTGGGTCACAGGAGCCTTCGATAGCAAGAAAGTAGGTTTTAGGGATGTTTCTACTAAAAAAATAGTTTTGAAAATTCTTACATACTCTTTACCATTATGATATAGTGGAACCTTGAACTGTGAGTAACCCGGTCTGTGAGTGTTTTGCAAGATGAGCAAAAGTTTTGATTCGACAAATTAGCGCGGTCTCGTAATTCGAGTAGTATGTACGCTTTGTCTGCCAATACGTCACAACTGAGCCGATGGTTCTAGCGCTTCACTTCTATAGTCAATATCTGTACTGCAACAATGGGCCCTTGCGCCAGCCACGATTCTTTTTAAAGGTAAAGTGCAGGTTAAGTTGTTAAATTTTTACTTCATACTGTATTTTGTATTACTGTAATCATTTTGATATGGACAAGTGGGTGTGGAATGAATCATCTGAGTTTTGATTATTTCTTATGGGGAAATTCGCTTTGATATACGAGTGCTTTGGATTACGAGCACATTGCCAGAATGAATTATACTCGCAATCCAAGGTTCCACTGTATTGGTGAACAGAACCAGAGGGACAAACTCTTTACAAACTATTTAGTTACCTTGCCATACTGTGAGGGTGTATAGAGGATGTAGCCTCTCTGTTTGACATAGGCCTCAAACGCTGGTGTCCAGGGCTTCTCCCCACAGCAGTAGTCACTAATAAGCAACTGGCCACCTGGCTTTAACCATGACTGGACACAGGCAGCAAATGAAAGACAAGTTAGAAAACTCAGACTGGATAATGTGACCAAAGAAAATAAGTAAATAAAATTTGCGACATAAAAAAGTTTTCATTTAGCAAATGAAAGACAAGTTAGAAAACTCAGACTGGATAATGTGACCAAAGAAAATAAGTTAATATAATTTGCGACATAAAAATGTTTTCATGTAGTTTTTTTGTATACATTTTGTACAATCTGCCAGAATTGCTGTCCAAACAAATTCAAAGAAATCAAGGAAGTTAAGAATGTAGACTTAATGCT